CACATTGAATATATCCTGCCACTCCTTTCTGGCCTGCCAAGTTTCTGTGGATAGGTCTGCTGCAAACCTGATCTGTCTTCCCTTGTAGGTTAAGGACTTTTTTTCCCTTGCTGCTTTCATGATTCTCTCCTTGCCTGAATATTTTGTGAATTTGACTATGATATGTCTTGTTGATGGTTGGTTTTTGTTGAATCTAATGGGAGTCCTCTGTGCTTCCTGAATTTTAATGTTTGTGTCTTTCCCCAGGTTAGGGAAGTTTTTCTCTACGATTTGCTCACATAATCCTTCTACCCCTATTTCTCTCTCTTCCTCTTCTGGGACCTCTGTGACTTTGATGATGTTCCTTTTTAGTGAGTCACTGATTTCTCTAATTCTTAAATCGTGCTCTTTTGCCTTAATCTCCCTCCTTTTTTCTGCTTCATTATTCTCCATAAGTTTGTCCCCTATATTGCTGATTCTCTGTTCTGCCTCATCCATTCTTGCTGCCGTGGCCTCCATTCACAACTGCAGCTCACTTATAACATTTATTTCATCCTGACTAGCTTTTACTTCTTTTATCTCAGCAGAAAGGGATTCTAATCTATTTTCGACTCCCGCTAGTATTCTTATTATCCTGATTCTAAATTCTGGTTCAGACATCTTGCTTGTATCTGTGTTGGTTAATTCCCTGGCTGTTGTTTCTTCCTGGTCTTTCTTTTGGGGTGAATTCCTTCATTTCATCATTTTGAAGGGAGAAAAGGAATTAATGAGGTAAAAAAAATTAAAATTAAAAAAATTAAAAAATTAAAAACAAACACACACACAAAATCGAGTAAATGATGCTAGATCTAGATCCTAGGTGTGTTTTGGTCTGGGTGTTGAAAGGGGCTTGACAGATTAGAGAAAAAAGGGGAAGGAAAAAAAAAAGGAAATCGTTTGAAAATTTGAAAAAATGAATACACTGAAGTAGACTAAAATGAAATGATGGAAGTAAAATAGAATTTGAAAAAATTTACACAAAAGTAAAAAATATAGGCAGCTCTTCCTGCCCATGGGTCCTGTTCCCATGCTTTAATAAAATCATCTTTTTTCACACCAAAAAAAAAAGTAAAAAATATAGTAGAAAAAAATTGAAACATATTTTTAATAAAAATTGAAAATAAAGATGAATTTTTTTCTCTTTCTGTATTCAAGAAAAAGAAAAGAAACGAAAAAGAAAAAAAAAGAAAACTGAATAGATGGACTGGTGAACAGTCAGTCGAACAAAAATACGACTGAAATTACTTCGTTTTCTTTTAGAAGTCAAATTATGAATCCCTTTATAGTCCATAAACTAAGCAGGTGTTCCTGAAACTTGAGGTTGGCCCAGTTGGGCGGGGCTTAGTGTAATGGCTCCGTTCTCCACTAGATGGCGCTGCTTAGCTTACTGGGGCAGATCGTTGTGGCGCTTGTAGGTGCGTATGCGCATGCGCGGAAGCGATGCCATGGCGTCACCCAGACACCCGGTCTCTAGTATCTGAATTCTGTTCTCCCCGATCAGCAATCGCGCACCCGTCCTTTGTCTTTGGATTCCATCTACTTCCCGCTTTTACACGGTTCGTGACCAAGCCCCAGGCAGCACCTCCCTCCCGAGCTTTGTCTCAGATGCGGCTGTGTTTCCCGACTCCTTACTTCTGAGGGACTGCGGCTTTGGTCTGTTCTGCAGAGGGTCTCACTGAGCAATGGCCAGGTGCCGGCCGCACCCAGGAACATTTGCGGGACCGTGCTGCTGCTGACGCCCAGAGACTGTGGCCGGGGGCCAACCCGCCCCAGAAAAACTTCGCGAGATAGTGTAGCAGCAGTGTTTCAGGGACTGTGGAAAATCACAACACACACCTGGCACCAGGCTTCACCCCCAACGACGTTGTTCCAGCGCCAGCGATCGTGGTTGTTCTTCCGGCTCCGCTGGGGCCTTGCCTTTGGGGGACCCACATAGCCTCTACCAGGTGTCCTCCCAGCAGGTGAACTGCCTCTCCCCGGGTGCCCTGAAGAACCCCGGACTCCACTCTGCTCCTGGGGATTCACCCTTCTCACCAGAGCACCGCCAGGTATGGAGCTGCGGAGTTTCAGCCTCTGCGCTCCCCTGTTTACAGTCTTAACGGAATTTAAACCCTCTCCTTTCTCCCTTTTTAGTTCAGTCTCTGCGGCTGTTTCCACTCTTCCGTTTTCTCTCCAGCTGCTCTTGGGCGGGGGGGATGCTTTTCCCATATTCTTCCCCCCGCCGCCCTGCCTCGCCTCCGTCCTCCCTCCGCATGCAAAAGCGGCCCCCTGCCCTCCGTGGCTTCTGTCTCCCCCAGTTCACCTCTCCGCGCCGGGTACCTGCTGAATTCTGTGGTTCAGGTTGTGCAAATTGTTGTGTTAATCCTCAGATCAGTTTTCTAGGTGCGCAGGATGGGTTAGTGTTGGTCTGGCTGTATCTCAGGGACGCGAGGCCCACAAAAAACTTCCATGCTGTTCCGCCATCTTGGCTCCTCTCCCCCTTCTCTGTTCTATTCTAAGAGATATTCTCATTTTCTTTCTTCATGTTTCAGTCTGATATTCCAGCCTTTTATATCTCTGTGCTTCATTCTCTATACCTTCCTTACATTTGTTTCCAGCGTGTCTGTTATCTACTGTTCTGGTGAACCAATCCATCAAGTTTTAAAATTTATTGACTTTATTTTTCATTTCCAGATTTTAAGCTTCCTATTTAAAATCTGCCTGTTCTTTTTTCTTCGCAACTTATTCTATTCTTGGGCTTTTGGTTCCTCTTTTAATTGCTTTCACTCTTTTTAAAAAAATTTTTTTTAAATGTTTATTTATTTTTGAGAGAGAAAGAGAGAGAGTGCAGAGCGTGAGTGGGGGAGAGTGGAGAGAGAGGGAGACACAGAATCCAATGCAGGCTCTAGGCTCCGAGCTGTCAACGCAGAGCCCAGTGTGGGGCTCGAGCTCATGGACTGTGAGATCATGACCTCAGCCAAAGTCAGACACTTAACCAACTGAACCACCCAGGTGCCCCTTGCTTTCACTCTTTTAAATAAACTTATTTTCTAACTTCTACCAGGTCCTTTTTGTGTCTGAAGTTCCTGGGATGTAATCTTGCCATTTGTTACTTCTCTTGCTTGTGCTGGATTGTTTGCTGCTGTGTCTTTTAGCTTTGGATCAGATTGTGAAATCAGATTCAGCAATGCTTTATGTAGGGAATCCTGTTAAGCCTCAGCTGTGGGGTAGGTCCCTTCAGAATGGTTTTTCATTTGCTTCTACGTGGTGATCGCTGTCTGAGGATTAATCTTTTAATTGGCTTTCTCAGCTTGAAGCTTTCTGGATCATGTAAGTAGTATAAAATTTAAATCCCAAACATTGTGAGAGTGGGCTTGCGGTTACTAATTCTCAAGAATCTTTTAGGTTTCTACTTGGGAGTCAGGCCAAGATGGATACGTTTCCTTGGCTTTGCCCCAGATGGATGGACTGATTTTCTGATCTGTCCTTTGCATGTGTTGTAGCTCTTTGAGGATCCAGGCTCTGCTGGGGGCCTCGGGCCACATGGTCCCGGGCACACTCTCCCAGGTTCAGTTTTCTCATCCATAAAATGGGTATATGACTCTGTTTTCTGTGCAGGCCCCATTGTAGACACTTCCTGTCCAAGTGTGGGCACTTCCTGTCAGAGCACGAAAACCCAAGCACCCTAGGTTCCGCCAGGAATGACAACCTCCCTTGTATATCAATACTTTCTATCCTTGTATCAGTTGTAATTTTTACTTGCCTGGGATCATAGATATCATGCAAAATATCAAACATTTTTAGGTGATAATAGTCTACAGCTTTTAGGTTATCCCCTCAGCCATGTTGCCAGCCTTGTAAATCTATGAGAGTTCTGTTTTTTCTTCTCCCCAAATAACAGGCCAGAGGGGCCCCCTGAGCCCTCAGACCCCATCTTTTTCTCAGATGTGCTCACTCCCGAGTGACTAGGGCCTTGGTGAAAATGGCCAAGGTGCAGTCTGGACATTGGAGGATGAGAGCCTCTACTCCGCGTATCCAATTGCTGCCAGGCTCCAGGGGCAAGAACATGTGGCTCGGAGCTCCTTAGCTGATAAAAGGCAGGGCCCAGATGGCCTGATGAGCTCCACAGTGTACAACAAACAGCTGAGTGCGACAGAGAGGGCACGGACTTTCGGAACAGAGAGGTAAATCCCAGCCTCTCCTTTCATCATCCGCATGGCCTCAGCAAGCCACACAACCCTCTGTAAGCCTGCTTCATAAAATGGTCATAATAATGCTAATTTCATGGGATTGTGATGGTAGCTATGGGCTTTCCATCAGTGGTTAAGAGTACAGGGTAAGAGTTAGCAGGCATGAATCCAGACCTTGCTTTGCCTCTTATCATGGTCCCGGGCACACTCTCCCAGGTTCGGTTTTCTTATCCATAAAATGGGTATATGAATGCTGCCTACCTCAAAGGTGGTTGTGAGGCAAGTGGAGGAGTGTGTCAATTGCTTAGCACCTCGTCCGTGAGGGCGAACACTCTGAAGGTGCTAGCTACCATCACTTTGGCATCTTGGAACTTACGCGTTTTCTTGAGCTGCCTCTTCGGCCTTTGAGACCTTCCTGTAGCAATAGATCATTTCAACGAGCAGCCACAAGGTGAGGAAGACCAGGAGGATGTACATCATGATCTCTGAGACCACAGAGGTGAAGTCCTCTCCAGCTGCAAGGGGGACAGTGAGGCTCAGAACGTGCATGTGCGACAAACCCAGAACTGTCATTGGGTCGGAGATATATGATATATGAGACCTTTTTTTTTTTTTTTTTTAAGTACGGCTTAAATTAGCCCTGGCTCTAAGGAACTTGAGAAGGCGTCAAAGAGATTCAATGACTCTGACTCTCCTGTCTGTCAGCTTCCTCGCTGACTTTTTTCAGGAGTGGGAGTGGGGGCGGGGATGGGGGTGAGAAAGAATGAGGAGTGGAGGGAAAAAGGGAGCCGTGGAAGGAATCCTGGAATGGGGTGAGATGGAAGAACCGGGTCCCAATTTTGTGTGGACAGTCACTTCCCTTATTGGAAACTCTCTTTCTTAACTTGTAAGGTAAGGGTGATAGTTCACACCCTTACCTAGTGTATTCAGGAATATCCGGTGAGATGTGAAAGTCTACACACATGTGAGGGACAGGTCTGGTTCAACCACTGAGCATAGAGTGGCAGAGCGAGTGAGCATGGGAAACATGTAAGGGGCCAGTGCGGTCAGCCCACCCAGTGATCTGGGCGTAGCCTCTACAAGTCTGGACTGGAAACAGGGTCCTTCCCGGTTCATCTTCCTTCCAGGCCATCCCAAACCCAAACAGAAATGGGTATTGGAGCATTCCACATATTACCCAGGCTTTCTGAAACACAAATCTGACCCTGCTATTTGCACGCTTTAAACCTTTCCGTGTTCCATCCCGCCCTCAGGATAAAGACCAAACCACGAACGTGGCAAGCAAGATTCACAATCCAGCCCTTTTCTCCTCATTTCCATTCAGTGGACCAGCAAAACTTCACTTCTCATTTACACGGTGGGCTCTTTGGGGATCTGTAGACGTTTATTCATGCCCTTTCCTCTTTCTCAATTGTATTGCACACCCCCTCAGCTACCTCTGTCCCAACATCCCCTCCTGCTTTTCAGTGTCCCAACCATTCTTCCAGACTCCACCAAAGTCCCTTCCTCTGTGGAACCTTCTTCGGCCTCTCGTGCGGAGCTATTCATGTACTTCTCTGTGCACTTTTCTCATCCGCCCATTGTAATACCTCTCAGGTTGTGCTGTGATGTGTTTCTCTCTCTTCTCCACTGATGGTGTGCTTATTAAGAACATATTTCACTTATTTTTACATTATCAGCCTGTTGTCTAATCCTGGAATATTTGCAGTACTCAATAAGTATTTGTTGAGTGAATGAATGCAAATAAATATTGATCTTTGTTTCACAGCCAACCAGAATGACAATTAAAAGATGATATAAGGCAAAGGTCCTGGTCCACAATCGTCCTTTCTAGTGGGAAAGAAGTTTGTAGCCACATTTCCTGTTGCTAACTCCTCCAGCAAATTAGATTCATGGTCCTTGGTTATTCATAGGCCCCAGTCATCCATCAGGCCTCACTCCTTAAAAGCACAGAATAGCCATAGCCACGACCTTCAGCTCAGAGAAGCAATCCAAAGCTTCCACGATCATCCAGGTTTCCTGACTGGAGCTGGAGGTCATAAATATAGCGTGCGGCACAGAAGAACGCCATGCACATAAAATATCTTTTTTGTGGGCTTGGTAATACCTGATTTGTGATGTACTTGGCTTAAAGCATGCTCTTTTTAAATGCAATAGCCCAGAAGTAGGAACACAGGAAGCTATCCATGCTCAGTATTTTTAGTCACTTCTAGATCTCAGATTTCTGTCTTAGAGCCAGGAGGTCAGAGCTTAGGACAGGATACGTTCAGCTTGAGCCAAGAACTAGGGAGATTCTGTGGGACCACAGGACTGGAGGAGATGTAGCTCGTTGCGCTGTGGTGGCGCCTGTCGCTCTGAGCCTTATGAAAGCAGATCTTGGCTGCGGGGAGGGGGGGGTATTGTCAGAGGCTGCCACGGGTCACAGAGGAAAAGAGAGAAAGAAAGAGAGGAAGGAAAGAAGGAAGGAAAAAAGGGGAGGGAAAAGAAGGGGGGCGGAGAAAGGAAAAGATATGAAAAGAAAGAAAAGAAAGAAAGAGTAGCAGAAAAAGGGATGGCGGTCGAAGGGAAAGATGTACTGGAAATAGAGCTAGCCCAGTAGCCAAAAGATCTGGTCCGTAGGCCCGCGTCTGGCGCTAACTTGCTTCCTATCTCTGGGCAAGCGCCTCACCGATCTCCCCGCCGCAAAACGAGGGGCACCAGAGCTGCACCCTCCAATCAATCACCTGGGGAGTCATTTCTACTTACATACGCGAGACCTCACTCCAGGCCACAGAGCTCATGCTCATAAGAGCGGTAGGGAGACTGCTACACGCGAGGGAAGCCCCTGGGCAATTCTGAGGCCTGCCTGCTCTTTGTTCAGAACCTCTGCAGGAAATGAGAGCCAAGCTTCCTTCCAGCCCTAACATCCCAAGAGGCTTTGTGGTTCTGATAACAAACTCGTCTTCCTTCTATTCTTACCCAAGCCTGGCTCTGGTGCCCCGGAGGCGGACAGGTTCAGCTTTGCCACACTTTCCACGGGCTGCGCCAGGGACTCTGGAGGCAAGAGCCTGAGAGAGACCGGCGGCGCCTTCCTAGTATCGGCGTCACCAGCCAACAGTTCCGGCAGTGACCAGTAGAGGGCGCCAGCCTCTTTTCCCCGGGGAGCAGAGGTGTGTAAACAGAAGGGATAATGGAACTTCGAAACAGAAAAATACCTTAGAGAGCTTCTAGCCCAACGCACGCGCTGTACCCAAGAGGTGACGGGTTCAGAGAGGGAGAATGGCTTATCAGGTCTAAATGCCAGTGGTCTGAGAGTGCTTCTGCACCTTCAAAAAAACTGACCTACCTTTCGTTTTAGTCATGTTGTCCACATCAGGACAAAATCATGACATCTCTTGCCCTGCCGTGCACTCTCAAGTTTGCTTCATGAATTCTATCACAGTAACAGGAGGAAAAAATGAGGAAATTTGTGGCCTGGAAGTCGGGATTCTTGGGAATCCTAGGAAGAATGCTATCATGAATTTGACTTCTTATTTCATGCCCCACACCTTTTACCTGCTCACCATCCTGCCTCTTGGGGCAGTGATAATGCTAAGAGTATGCTGGAAATAGATTGCCTGGGAACAGGCTAAGAAAAACGGAGCCATCACGTAGCCTGGATGAGAAGACACAAAAGGAGATGCATATATCGGTCTTTTGACACATGAGGGGGTGTTTGCAAGCAGCTGGAAACCACAGTTTTCTGAGTCCCTTGAAACCAGAACAGAGCAGTGTGTGAGCGCATTCTAACTTTACCGTCAAGATTCTGGACTGGATTAAAACAGAAACATTTGAATTGTTTCTGGAAGGATCCCCCACCTCCCACCCTCATAAGAAATTGGCTGTGGGAAATCTGAAGATTTTAAGCTAAAGACTAGAAAGTTTTTTTCTTCCAGTTGAGAATGAGGTTTTGCACTGATAGATGCCAGGGGATGGGAAAGGGATTGCTTGTGTGGTCATTTTGGGGAAGACAGAAGACTTGGTTTAGAGCAGTGGTTCTCAAAGTGCGGTCCCAGGCAGCATGGGCATCTCCAGGCAATTTGTGAGACATGTAAACTCTCAGACTCTATCCACAGAAGCAGGAAGTCTGCATTTTAAGTCCTGCAGAGGATTTTGAGGCTTGCTGAAATTTGAGCACCACTGGTTCAGAGGTATGTATGGCTTCCACACAGGAGGGTTAGAAGACTTCTAGATAAGCTCATGAGATTTCCCTGTGCCCATTGAGTCAGGGATTCAACACAGATCAGAGAAGAAGGTGTAGCTGAGTTGACAGTTTTAGGCTTCATGGAGGCTGACTTCTTTCTCTAAGGATGAGAAGTCAGGGGATCAGGGAACAGGTATTTCTCCTGTCATCTCTGAGCCTTTCTGCTTTGAGGAAAGGCACAGACAGGCAAGCTGTCAGGCAGTTTGCAGGAAGCTGGCCACTCAAGGAAGTTAAATCAATGGTGACATTTTTAAATGCCACCTCTCCAGATATATGGGCTTTGCACTCTGCAGAGGTCTCATTTGTGTGGAAACCCACTGCCCTCCCTCCCCTAAGAGGAGGGCACCCCCGCGACCCTGCGTCCCAGCCTCACCCTCTTCGGTGACTCGGAGGGGGATCAGCCGTGTAGTCTTCACAAAGGGGCGATGTGCCTCAAAGGCGAACTCCCGGGACACGTTGCAGGTGTAGAGGCCAGAGTCATTCAGGGTGACGTTCAGCACGGTGATGGACACATCCTGCAAGTCCTTGCTCCCATTCCACTGCAGGCGCCCCTGGAAGGGGCTCTCCACCTCCTGCTGGCCGTTTCGATACTCATAGATCTGCAGGTAGAGAAGCAGAAGAGAGTAGGGCCAGGAGAGAAAACAGGGTAGGAGGGCCGGGATGGGGACAGGGCAGAGAAAAGGAGCAGAGTCGTGCATGGACAGGGGAGGGAGCGCACAACGTTACAAGGAGATCCCGAGTTTGGGAGTGTCAGGGGAGGGCAGGGAAGAGAGGGCGAGAGAGGCAGGGAAAGATGAGAGAAGGTAAACAGGTATCAGGGCGTATGGACACAGCAAAGGAAGACGCAGACAGGAGTAGACAGGAAGAAGGCTGGAGGAAAAAAGGTACAGAGAAAGAGAACAAAAGAAGGTGAGTAAAGCAGATAGACCAGGAGGGGGAAACTGAAAGAAAGAATTGGAAGGAGACAGAGCAAGAGAGTAAGCTGTGTCACGAGGGCAGCCAGTGGGAGAACAGAGCATAGAGACCAAGAGTGGCAGCTTCACGAGTCACGAAGACATCGTAAAGCCTTGGCCTCAAGACTGGACTCTCTGATCTGGTTGCCACTGAGGGGATATGGTCAGTCTGGGCCAGGCCACAGGAAGGGGACCCTGGACGCCAAAGTGTCATGGTTGAGCAGAGAGCTGCCAAAAGATATGCACACTTCAGGTTTTTCGCTTTGGGCTGAATTATAACTGAAATGTGGTCTCGAAATTTCTTTTCTCAAGCACTTCCACCTTCTGACACACCTTTTTATTCTCTACAGCTGTGCTGCCCATTCTAGTCTCCACTTGCCGTATGGAGACTACTTACACTAACAATTAAATGACTAGATGGGGTGCTTGGGTGGCTCAGTCAGGGCATCTGACCTCAGCTCGGGTCATGATCTCACGGTGTGTGAGTTTGATCCCCGCGTCGGGCTCTGTGCTGACAGCTCAGAGCCTGGAGCCTGCTTTGGATTCTGTGTCTCCCTCTCTCTCTGCCCCTCCCCCACTTGCACTCTGTCTGTCTGTGTGTGTCTCTCTCTCAAAAATAAATAAACATTAACAAAATTAAAAAAAAATTAAATGACTAGAAGTGAAAATGTAAAATTCACTTCCTCATTTGCACTAGCCACATTTCAAGGGTTCAGTGGCTGCATGTGGCTAGTGGCTACTGTATTGGACAGCACAAATATGGAACATTTCCATTTTCACAGGAATTTCTAGCAGACAGCATCGCTTTGTCTGTCCACTACAATTTTTAAAGTTTCTTTTCCTCCTTCTGAGTCAGCTACTCATTCTGGGCAGACACGGAAGCAGAGTAGGTGGCTGGCACACAACCAGGCCTGAGGCCAATGGGGGCCTTTGCATCAGGCCTAGACATCCAGATTCCTGTCCCCTGGGGACCGGCCTCAGTCACAGTCAACTCTGAGGGAAGCCCGAGATTTCAGGGAAATTTACTGGTTCCAGTTCTGGAACAAACACTTGATTGGAGCACTCAATTTCACCCTGCTATCATCTCCATTAAGTCTTTTTAAAAATTTTTTTTTCAATGTTTTTTTATTATTTTTGGGACAGAGAGAGACAGAGCATGAACGGGGGAGGGGCAGAGAGAGAGGGAGACACAGAATCGGAAACAGGCTCCAGGCTCCGAGCCATCAGCCCAGAGCCCGACGCGGGGCTCGAACTCACGGACCTCGAGATCGTGACCTGGCTGAAGTTGGACGCTTAACCGACTGCGCCACCCAGGCGCCCCTCCATTAAGTCTTTGTACAGAAGAAACTCGCCTTCAAGAAGGTGAGATAGCTCAGTAAAAAGGGCTTTGTATCTGCTGTCAGACAACCTGGTTCGAATCTAAGGTCTCTTATTAACTTCTTTGGGCCTCTGTGTACCTCACTCATGTACATATATCTTTTCTCTAGCAAACACTTGTATCATGCTTCCTATATTCCAGGGCTATTCTAAATGCCTTAAAAATGAAAGCTAACAACCTTGAAGGTAACAATTCTATGAGGTAGCTATGGTTTGCATCCCCATTTTAGAGATGAGGAAACGGAGGCACAGAGAGGTGAAGCCAGTTGTCTTACGGCACAGAACTAACAAGCTGTAGAGTAGAGAATCAAACCCAGGCAGCGTGGGTTCCAGAGTCCGTGAAAGTGTGAATAAGGGTCATCCCCAAGGTGATATTCAAAGCATGTAATGGTACTGGCCATGGCACGAACCAGGCTAAGCTGACACCAGCCACAGCACAGAGCAGAGTCTCAGAGGCTCCCCATTCCGTCAGGATGATCCCTTAGTTGCGTGGGGGAGGTCTGGAGGTTCCCAGTGGGACCGATGATGGTGAGGCCGCTTGGGAAGCTTAGCACAGCGAGTGCCCATTATAGACCTATTCGAATAGTTCACTCACAGATGCGGCTGTACTGGGTATACCAGTTGAACATCAGCCTGGGTCATCCCTGCCATTCTTTTTTCACTGGGATTGCGAGATTTAAATGAGCTAACCTATGCTCTCCCATAGAATGAGGCTGAGTGTTATTTCCATCTTTCTACTAATTTAATCCATCCAACATGATGGTGCACAAGAGCCCGTGAAAGCACCTGCAAAGTGCCTTGTGGGGTGGCTAGCACACGGTAGGCTCTACATGCTATTTCTCTCTTCTCCCCCTTCCCCCGCTGGTAACCAGGAATGCCTGCGGCTGGCCAAGTGCCCTTCCCATCACAGAGGCTGGGCTACACTAAGGCCGTCAGTTATCTGCTGGGGAGCTGTCAACGCTTTGAAAAGAAAGAGCCAGGGTTTGTCAGAGCCTTGTTCCCCAGACTCTCGGGAGCCAGGCACATAACAGCAGAGGCAAGCAAAACAAAGGCCGTCGTCAGCAGGCAGACATACAAGGAAATCTTTACCGCCCTCGGGCCTGTAGAACCACTCCACCACCGTGGTGGCCTCCACCTCCTCTCTCTTCATGCAGGAGATGCAGCGCAGCTTCATGGGGTTGCCCTGAACGGCCTCCGTCTCCGAGGGCACTTCCACACACACAGGGAAGCAGACACTGACTGGAGAGAGGCCCAGTGACAGGGAAGGGACAGGAGGTGTTGGGGAGGAGGGCACCAGGAGAGCGGCATTGGAGAACAAAAGGGAGGGAGAAGAGACAGAGAAGGAAGAATCATGAGACAAACCTGAAGATCGCATGTACCTGTGTGTACGTCTTCACCTGGGCTCCCCCAGGATGCGCGCTCAGAACAAGCAGGGCGTGGGCTGCAGGAGCCACGGATGACTCTGAGTTGACTGAAAGCCTCCCGGGGTGCAGCCCTGAGCCCTGCCCTCAAAGACTTAGAGTCTCCGTGGGAAACCGGGGGCACACATACCCACCCATCCATGCACCCTTCATTCAACCACTATTCACTGAAATCTACTCTGTGCCAGGCCTGATGCGAGGCTGACACAAAGATGAATAAAACACCAACCTCACCCTGAAGGCATTTATAATCTAGCAGGGAACGCATACTTCTAAGTATCATTAAACAGGACCATGGCGAGTGCCATGCTGGTGACGTGTTCTGTTCCCAGAGGAGGGCCAGTTATTCCTGGTTGGGCTGGGGAGAGAGGAAGAGAAGGAAGATGAGGCAGGGGTCTAGAAAGGGAGCGGGGACCACGTTGTGAAGACCTTTGTGTGGCCTTCACAACATGAGAGGTCAGATGTTTGCAAGCCATGGAGAGATAATCATTGCATCTGAATTTTATTTTAAAAAGTAGGTAATTCCGACGCCTGGTGGAGGCTGGAACAGCAGATGAGGAAGACGGTGAGCTGGCCACTGGGCTAGAGCAATGCTTTTTGCAGAGGAGTAGAGAGAGACAAAGTTAAAAATCTGGAGAGGGGCGCCACCAGCGCCTGGGTGGCGCAGTCGGTTAAGCGTCTGACTTCGGCCAGGTCACAATCTCGCGGTCCGTGGGTTCGAGCCCCGCGTCGGGCTCTGGGCTGATGGCTTGGAGCCTGGAGCCTGTTTCCGGTTCTGTGTCTCCCTCTCTCTCTGCCCCTCCCCCGTTCATGCTCTGTCTCTCTCTGTCCCAAAAATAAATAAACGTTGAAAAAAAAATCTGGAGAGAGGTCAGATTGGGGTGATAGCTTGCCTGCCACATGGAGGTCTGGACTTATGGTCGCTGCCCTCTAGAAACTTGTGGCCCATAAAAATAGGGTGAGTACATCAGACTGCACGTTCAGGATGAGTCAAAAGTGGGATTAGGCCGCCAACAAAGCGAGTGCAAATGTGGGCTGCATTAACAGATGCACGATGTGCACAACGAGGGAGAGACAGTGCCTGTGCACCGTGCAGAACAAATCTGGACCGTTCCGATCAGTTCAGCTGTCACAGTTGACAACAGGAAGCTGTTCAGTGAGTGCATGCCCAGCAAGGAGCAAGATGGAGAACGGTCTGGCGACATCGTCTGGGGAGAAACAGATGGGAGAATTGGGGGTGCCTGGCTTGGACACAGAACTTATCTGCCTTCAAGTATTTGAAGGCCTGTGGAAGAGAAATTCAATTCTAATTCCAAAAGTTACAAGAAAGTAAATTTGGCTCATTAAAAAAAAAAAAAAAAAAGAATTATCTGGTGCTGAAGCTGATTACAAATACAAAAAACTATTTGGTAAGAGTTTATTGTATGGAAGATTCAAAAATGGGATGATCTTATATCAGGACTTCTAAGTCCCCTTCTAATGCTACCTTCCCATGAATTAATAATAAAAACAAAACTCCTAAAAAAAAATGAAACAATACACATTGATATTTAAAAACTAGTATGCTGGGGTGCCTGGGTAGCTCAGTCTGACTTCAGCTCAGGTCATGATTTCACCGTCCGTGAGTTCGAGCCCCATGTCTGGCTCAGAGCCAGCTGACAGCTGACAGCTGACAACTCAGAGCCTGGAGCCTGCTTCTGAGTCTGCATCTCCCTCTTTCTCTGCTCCTCTCCTGCTCATACATTCTCTCTCAAAAATAAATAAACATTAAAAATTTTTTAAACAAACACACAAGTGGCACTATGATGAGTTTAAAACATCAAGGGGAAATAAAACTAATTGGTTTTAAAACTCTCAAGCTAGCTGGGGCTGGTCTTATCAGGCAGTCTGCAAAAGAGTCTCCCGCTTCTGTATATGGACCATCACTTTCATGGAGAGAGGATCTGTATCTAGAGAGAACTGATCAGAAACACTTTCAATATGTGATGTGTTTGAAGTCTCGATTGTAAGCCTGGTTGAAAAAAAAAAGAAAAGAAGGTGTGGTCTGTGCAAAAGTTTGGGAACGAATACAGGTGCAGAGAATGTGCACTGAGAAATCTGTGTGGCAGGCAGCTTTGAGGCACATTCATATTTAATGAGACATGGTAAAGATAAGTTAGTTCAGTGATGATGACTTCAAAAGTAGCATAGGAAGATGTACCAAGGAATGCACAGTTACAAATACAGAGGCAGGAAGAAAATGAATTTGGCAACTGAAGGCCTGTGTGTATCTACTCTTTAACCTCTGAGACTCAGTTTATTCATCAACAGAATGCTGAAAATAACATCTAATAGCATCATCATGGGAATTCTATGGAATGATCTATATGAATGTGCTTTGGACATATATCACCTGTTAATGTATTTTCTCCTTCATTTATCTGCCCACTTATTCAACAAATATATCATGTGCTTATTGTATGCCAGGCACTGTTCTAGGCACTGACAATGCAACAGGGGACAAAACAGAAACCATTCCTGCTCTCATGGAGCCTGCATTCCAGAGGAGGGTAATAAAAATAAGAAACATGACATTGTAGTAAGTACTAATGAGAAAAAGTAAAACAGAGTAGAGGCACATGGGAACATCGGAGACAGCCTCACTGAGACGGTGACATCGAGCAGGCACTGAAGGAAAGAAATGAGGGCAAGAAAGGAGATATATGAATATCTCCATGGAAGTGTGCAAACAGAGGAAATAGCATTTCAAGGGTCCTAGGGTGGGAGTGTCTGTCGAAAGCAGAGCACAATGAAGCCCAGGGAACAAAGTGAGAAAGGAGACATAAGCCAGGGCCAGATCATGGCTGGTCTTGTTTAGAACTTGGACTTCTGCTTGGAGTGACATGGGGACCATTGGAGTGTTCTGAGTGGAAGAATAACACGATTGGTACAAACTGACATGACCTGGCTATGTTGAGAATAAACGGAAGAGGTGACAAAGGACAATGTGGAAGCAAACAGGATAGTTAAGAGGCTGGTACACTGATCACATTGAGAGATGGCTCAGTGGTTTGGCTTGGATGAAGGTGGTAGCAGAGCTGCTGGGCTTTGAAAAAGAACAATTTGTTGGACCAACATCCTCGAATACGTGCCAGGTGATGTGCTTTAGTGAGCAAGTAGATGAATTGGTCTTAAATAGGAGCACAGTTAGTTCATTTATAGTTAAAGGAGGGAGGGCAAAATCTATGCAATCAGGAGGATGGCTGTGGCTTGCACAGCAATCTCTCTTTTTCCTGAGTTGCTCCTGAGATGACAGCAATCCAGTGTACCATCAGAGAACAAGCACTACTGATTCCCTTCTCATGGCCAAAGTCCAGTTTCAAGGCATAAGAATTCTGCTCATGAAGTCCTGGATAGTACATTGCAAAATGGTCACAAAATTCTCTCATGTCTCTTTGTTTGCCCTTTGCAATATGACGTGCTGTTTCTTCCATCAAGAGGTGAAATCTGTTTCTCCACCCCATGAGTCTCTAGTACACCACTGCCTCTCTGTGAAATCCTCTAGATATCCAAGAAAAGGTCATACATATGGTAGATATTCAATCCACATTGCTGACTGTAAGTGATAAACTCCTGGAATAATCTTGGCCAAATCATTTGACTTCTGGTCTCTTCTCCAATTTCTATAGTAATAATGAGGAAACTTATGAGAAGGTAGGCTAGGTAGATATATTACTAATGATTATATTTAACTAAGGAATAGTATCAATCTATCATGAGGTGGAGAGTAATATGTGTTGAACCAACTCCTCTAATACCCTCAAATCTTTTTCTTCTTTGGACATTACTAGCTTGCCCCTCCTGAGCTTGCTCTAGAATGCATTCCTTTGTGCTAAGATAATGAAGGCTTTTATTAGAATGTAAATATTTGCCAAAAGGGGTAATAAATGAAGTTATCTGTAGGCATTAACAACCTGAAATGATTTGTCTATCAGGTTAGCCAGTCACTTAGCAGAGCCTTGAAAAGAATGGGGTGCATGATGAGCTTCTGGGGGACGAGAGGAAAGCATCCCCAACAGAGCAGACATGTGGGGGAGTAGACCCGGAGAGGAAGAGCAGAGAAGACACTAGGGCCTGGACGGGGAGGGCAAAGGAAAGGCATGGCGGGAGGGGTGTGAGGGTGGTGGCTCTGAAGAGGGATGTGAGGACAGAGCCCATCTGGCAATCCTGCATAGCGGCACATGTGTTCATTAGAAGTGCTAGAACAAGCACTGGAAGACTGAAATCAGGAGACAAGAGCTCTCTGGCAAGTCCTTCCCCCTCCCTGAGCTCATTTTCTCACATCTAAACTGGAAATAATACTACTTTCCCTAGCTACCCCCAAGGATTGATATGGTGACCAAAAAGAAGTAACAGATTGAAAAGTGCTTTGCAAACCATAAAGCACCAGGGAAGTGTAGGTTTTTAAAAAATTATTATTATATACTTTATTAAAGGAAATAAGGGAACTTTTTTTCAATATATGCAGAAAATAATACAATGGAAAATATTCTTTCCATTTATATTTGCATCATGTGATAAAGCAACTTGGGAAGGGAGAATGCATCTAGTCAAAGTGGTTTCCAGTCCTAGAATTACATTCAAATAAAATGAAACTGCATTTGTGAAATGAGGCCTTTCTCTTACATTTGATGGCCAGGTTTCCTGAACCATCCCTCTTTCCTTCTGCAGCTTTTAAGCTTCATGAGCCAAAGAAGCTGAGAATGAGCAAATGATGGGTGTGATTTGCATGCTTCTTCCAAAGGTTTTATTTTGGGGATGGGGTGGAAAGTGGAGGTGAGGAGAGGGGTGGATGCTACCAAGTTGAGCAATATTTTGTAAATATTTCCTTACTTTTCAGTCTTAGATGTTATCTGCCCCAACTTCCGAACTTTCCATGTGAGGAACCAGATACTCTAAGGTTGTTACATAGCAAGCTAATGGCACAGCTAAGACTCCAAGCCAGGCTTTATAAGTCCTAAAAAGGGCTTAGCATGTGGCACCCTCACCCCTTCCACTGGAATTCAGGCAGGGATGCTAAAAATTTAAATTAAGGTTTGGGAAGAAAAGCTCTGTAGAATCTCACCCCAGTCCTTCTCTGCAACTTTATCTTCCATTGATTTATCAATACTCTTTCTTTTCCAGCCAGACTAACCTCTCCTAAGGCTCATTTCCCTAGTCTTAGCCTCCCCTGAGGAAATCCTAGCCTTAAATCGTCAAGGTAGGTGAGATCATTGGCAACCCATTATGTCTGCTTCATCTTCAGGTCTAGTCACTCTACTGGGGATGGATGGTGATGAGTCTGCCCTTGGGACTGGCATTACTCTCCCTCTTTGTCCTTCCCAGACTGTCTCATCAGGCATTTTGTTCAACATGAAGCTTGGCTCTGCTTTTGGTCACATGTAAAATCCAGATAATGCTGGCAGCCAATAAGTCCTGGAGGTTTAATAAAGTGATACTAAGGCAAAGAGGCAATTCCCATCAGCATATTTGCCACTGCACAGGGAGAATGAGTTTCATGCCAACCATGGGAGAATAAATCCCACACGCCTAGTTTCAATAAAGCAAGTGGGCACAATTATCCTGGTTATTGACTTTTAGCATAGAGGAAGGTAAAAGCATGTAAAAAGTAGAAATGTAGATGATCATGTGAAGCAATATATCAACTGAACAGCACCTGTATTTGACCTGAGGATCTAATCAGAGTCACCAAGAGAGAGATGCCTAGAACTATACAGCAATCACACACACGTGCGCGCACACACACATACACACACACACACACACACACACACACACACGTCTTCACCAATCCATTCAGATGCCATACTAACATGCTCAGACATACACTAACACACATTCAAACACTGAGGCATAAACAACACAGTAAAGCATTCTCTCAATCACATATACAGATGTTATCACGTAGACTCATTAACTCTCTCTACACACATGCAGGTACCCTACTCTGACACCACTCTGTTTAGCCTTAGTGTTGCAAGTGAAGGTCTTCCTTATTTGGAGGGAGAAGGTCACCTTATTTCCTCACAGCAAACAAGAACCTATTCGTTTTTGAAAGCAAAAAACATAGCTCCCCAAACACCAAAGCACCTTAGCTTCACATGTTCATGAAAAAGAATAAAGATGCAATGCCCAGGTGCCTATTTATCAAAGACGTAGCTGCAAATGGCTGAAGCCTATTTTCCTTATTAAAATTAAATAAATGGCTCAACAACGTGTTTTCATTCTCAAAATGCATGCATTTAGCTTTTTTAAAAAATACATGGGAATTAATTTGAAGACCCAATGATTTTTCATTGAAAAATGAAAGGTAAATGCAACCGAGATTTTTCATAATGAACGTGACTGCATTCCCTTTCAACAAAAGGAAAAGGGAAAAAATACTTTGGAATTAATCGGAAACAGGAGGAGGGGTGGAAAACCCACTAGGGTGGTTCTGGAATATAACAGCAGGGGAGTGAGGTGTTTTTCCAATCTCAAAATCCCAGCTCTCATGTAACCCTTATGGATCTCCATGTCTGGCAGACATGCATAGAGAGAAGCCAACCAAGGCTCCTTTTGTTACAAACGACATCAATTAGTGTTATTATTGTTGGCATTATTACTGTTATCTGCATCTCGCATGGCAGGGTGCTGGTACTTACCCCAGAAGATGAGCACGAGGGAAGCCAGGGGAAACAATCTGTTGAAGGCAGGCATCTTTTCTCTGGCGGGTGGCTTCCGGGGCTAAACAGAGAGATTCCCTCGGTCAAGAACTCGCCCTCTCAGATACTTTCGAGGAAACCCTTTGGGACGAACTGCCCCAAGGGGGCGACTTTCGGACTGAAATAAGGGCCAAGCGCCGGCGACTGGGGAGGCTTTCAGGGGTTTTCGAGCCGGGCGGGGGTTTCAGCTCCAAACCACCCTAGTGCACCGCCCCAGTTCGAGGGAGCCGATCAGCAGCTTCGCGCGCTCTCCCCGGAGCCCGTTGCTGGGATCCGGCTCAGCACCACGGACAGTACCTTCCCCGCCCACCCCGGAACTTCACAAATTCCAGTTGCTCAGCTGCTTCTCGGGTTTGCGCCTCGGTGACAGCTCAGCTCGGAGGCGAGCAGCACGGCTGGCTCTAGGCGGCTGGCTCTAGGCAGCTGGGCTGTCGAAGGGGTCCATGTTGATCCACCTCTCACCTCCCCTGGGAACAGCTACGCTCCGACCAGGATCCACCAAGACCCGGGAGCTTCGGCTTCATCAGCCTGCACCGGCTTCTCCAGCTGGGCGTGCCCCCCACACCCAAAGCCACCGGGGCCTCCCGTCTGAGCTCCAAAATTCGTTCCACCTCGGTCCCGTCCACGCCCGCCCTCTGCTCCGCGGGAAGGTCCGGAGGGGCGGGGCAAGAGGCGGGAGCTCCTGTCGGCCGCAGATCTCTGGGGAGGGGCAGGGAGGGTGGGCCGCTTCCCAGGAGCTCTCCCCCAGATAGTGCCGGGGTCCCGATTCTGGGTGGCGGGTGACCAACTGCCCTTCTCCAGGTCCTTCTTGACCGTGTGTGTTCAGTCAGCCTTGACATGCGCAGGCGGCTGTCCACCCCCACCGCCACCACTGACCCACCCCTCGTGCACACACTCCCCACCCCCAAACAGGCGTGTCCCTCCCGTGGCAGAGCGAGGCTGCCCAGCGCGGGGCGGAGCTTGGAGCTGCGCAAACACCTCCAGACCCCGCGGTTTCTGCTCTCGCTGGCTGTCTCCAGGTCTCCCTTTCACATCTCCACACCTCTCCCAGCGCGGGCAGTCTTCCTGCCACCAATTCACACCCTCCAGGCAACCCCACTCCTGCTACAGCACAGGCAAGCCAGCCTCCAGCTCCGGGAAGGGGAGGGCCAAACCTCTTTCAGGCAATGATGTCATCTGCCATGCACACTGTACACGAGAAGCTCGCGGCTTCTCTTCCCCGACCCCATCCCCTTCTCTTCTTCTAGACTCTTCTTTGTCTGTCTTTGATTAATTAGTTCCGGGCACACCAAACCCAGCAAGATGATCCCTGCTTAGGAGACATGGGGTAGGAGTGAGGCGCACCTGTTCCCATGGTCACCTCCTCATCCAGTGAGGCGATCCAAATGTCAACGCAAGAGTAGCACTGGGGGTGGGGGCAGCTCCCTCTTGCTCTCATCGCTTTTTTCCCTGTTCTTTCTTTATTTTCTTTATTACCATTATGATTATGATTTATTTAGTTTAGTTTAAAAGCAGATTGTGGTTTGGCCTCTTCTATTAGCCACTCCCTAGGCTTCTCAGCTGTGTCAGTGCCCCCGCCCCATCTCTGAAAGGGAAACCTGAAACTTTAAATTCAAACTCAGATTTGTTATAAACTTAAATTGACGTAACAGATTAGGAATGCCTGGAGCTGAAATGAAAGATGAACACAAAAATCTGCCCCTCCCCCTTCTTATCCCCTCCTATTCCCTTTCCAAAAGGGGAAACTTGACACTGATATTCCAAAAAAGAACCGCAGAGTGACAGCTGACTGTAAACGAACCATAGGCAGGAAATTCTCTTCCCTAACATATGACAGAACAACAGAAGGTCTCCGAGATAGGATCTTCTTCCTGGGCAGGGAGCCACCAGGCCATAAACTCTATGTTGTTTTTGAAGGCCAACCCTTGAAGCGCAGTGCATTATACTTGGAAGAGAAGTTAAAGTTGACTTAATTCAATCTTTCCAATTCATGAATCCCCCAAGAACGTTCCTGATGAATAGGCTTGACCTATTCATCTCTCCATGGAAATAGATTTTCGGCAATATGTTTCAAACCATTCCAAAGTGGAATGAATTACCTTTTGTTATGTTCAAGCAGTTGTTTTCCAAAGAATTACTGGGATGTTGTAGGGGAAAAAATATCTTCTAGATTTGAAGTTTGGAATAGATTATTGATAAAGTTCCAACAGCCTTTGAGATTCTATAATTTTTCTGAAAGCCCCACCCAAATACGTAGAGCAACTGAGATACTTTCAGTCTGATAAATCTGTCAACCACCACCCTCCCCCCCACCAACACCACCACTACCACAGTGGGAATTGGCTTAATTTTACATTTTTGTCACATCCATTTGTGCTATTAGGAAATAATCACAATGTTCTTTTCTAAATGCTTACCAATACCATTTTAGTCACTCTGAGGATTTTACATGAGATTTTAGGAACGATGTATTTGCCTCTAGTAGGCATATGACGTTTCCCTTGTCTTTCCTCTATTGAAAATAGGAGCATGTGGTCTTCTCAGTTTTCTGACATTTCCTTTGATTTTTGGCAGTGGCTCTCAGTCACTTTCATAAGTACCTTAAGTTCCCTGAAGTACATTCTGCCTTTCTCCAAGAGTTTCTAACTCATTTTAATTGTTTAAGCTATGCCTTCCTCCTTTCTGCCATTTTGGCTTCAATCCATTTTGCTGTTTTGTTTTTTAATCTTTTCCAATTTGATGGTCCTCTTTCCCTTACAGTTGATGGATGAAACTAGCCATTCAAGGTCTACAAACAGTAGCCAGAGCTCTCTTTATATTTTATAAGGTCATGTGCCTTCCTTGCTCAAAGCCCTTCAGTAGCATTTCATTGCACTTAATACAATCTAGACTCCTCACCATGGCCTAACAAGACACGCCCTGAACCCTGGCTATCTCTTCACACCCGTGTCTACCATTCCCTGTCTTGTCCACAATGTTCCACCACATTTATTGTTTTTTAAATGTACTTCAAATGTATTAAGCTTTTCCCCATCATAGAGTCTTTGTGCCAGATGTCCTCTCTTCCCAGAATACTCTTCATCCTAGGTCTGATTTCTTATCATTATGGTCTTGCCTCAAATGACTTCTCCTGTGAGTGGCACTCCTAGTCACACTTTCTAAACTGGTTTCCTGCCCACTTTCCCCACCTGAAGCTACTCTCTATGTCATTATCAGTTTCTTGTCCTTTATATCTTCTCTTACCCTCCAAAATGATTTTATTTGAAATTTAACACACTTGCTTATTTTCTGTTTCCTCCTATCGGGATGTAAGCTTCATGAAAGCAATCCTGTTTGTTCTGTGTGCTGCTGTACTCCTATGCCGGGGTTGGTACCAGGCAGATTATTAGATCCTCTATGAATCCTGAATGAATGAGTATATGGATGGATGAATGAGTGAGAATAGTGTGAGAAGAGTGACAAGCCCAGGCCATAACCAAGAGGGAACAGAAACAAAAAATAATCAGAGAAATGGGAGACCAGAAAGACACAATGCCACAATAGATGAGGAAAGAGAATATCACGACTTGAGGAACACTGCTCCTTAGAGGGGACTGCAGCCAACTGGGCTCAGAGATTGAGAAAAAGGAGAGGAGAGTATGGGGCCGAAGGTATTTAAAGATTTTGAGGTGGAGGGGGAAGGATGACTCTGATAGGTAAATAAGAAGAATGACATCTGAGATATGGATGGAGACATTGCTTTTCCTGAGGAAAGAAACCCATTTCACTAAGATTATGGGGGGGGGGGCGGAAATTAGAGACAGCAGTAGGGGCAGTGACCCTGTGAGTAAAGATAAAGTAGAGACTTTAAGATACACATCTGGATCTTCTCAAAGCAAGACGCAAGAGTATCTACTGAAAGTAGGGGTAGGGAGGAACAGGGGAGCTACAGACAAGAGAGACGGTGTGGGCCCCTTCTTGATGCATTTCAAGATCAACATATACCTGAGCTAAGAGTCAAGATGCAGGAATCAGAGCCCAGGGTAGACAAGTCAAGTGACCTGTTTTGCTATTCTAAATGGATTTTGAAAAATAGTACATAACCCAGGGGACAAGGAGAGTAAAAAAACATGTTTAAACTATGGCCAAAGTGCACACGTAGGACTGGGAGATTCAGGCTCCTCCAGATCATTCCCTCATCCTGACTGCCAGCTGTGTGGTTACTGTCACCAGCCAAGGGAAGTTGGGGATTAGGACAGGAAATAGTGACATGATGACCAGACTATGCAATCCCTTCCTGGATCTGCACATGGCAGACAGCCTGGCAGGTAAAAAGAGGCCAAAAATGTTTGTTGAATTGAATTGAGTTTCATCTGAATGGTCAGCAAGGCCAGAACTTTCCTGACACCCAGGAGTGCCCCACAAACACCCGTAACACACTCTGTGTGCAGGAGAAGCCAATGTCACACTGTTCCTATCCCGTCTTCAGGAAGCCCCTGGTACACATTCACGAGAAAGTTGTCACTAGGTAGTTATAATAATCGAAACATTCAAATGGGGAAAAAAAGAAAATATAATTGGTGATAAGGTACTTCAAGCTCTTCAGAAGAAAAGCTATATTTCAAGTATTGCTGTTAGCCTGGCATAATTTCTTATGCATTTCTGGCTGGGGTTCTTAGGCTGGACAGATGGAAAAAGTCTTTTGGAGAAGTAAGTGTCATTATTGCCTTTGCTGCTGAACTAAATGATTATTCTGATGTGTGGTGCAGGAGCCAACACCTGAGCCCCGGTTGCCTAAATGCTCACCAGAAACGATAGAGAAGAAGGAGAAAAAAGAAACCACAAAATGACCCCCAGGTGGGGGACAGGAAGCCTGTCTCAGGCCTCTTTCAACTCTGAGATAGTACTGACATTTTCAGTTGACCACTCTGAACCAATTTTCTCTCTCTAGTTGTCTGCCTCCCAGAGTTACTGGAAGCACAAATGAACTAATGTGTGGATGTGTTTTGGACTTTG